TTTCTTTTTTCCTTCTCCAACCAAAGTTATTTGTTCATCAAAGATGGCTTCTTCTTTGTCCCAGTCATCCTGTTGCTCATTCAGCTTTACATAAGTACAAACCGCAATTTCTAAAAATTGAAAAAGAGTGCCAAGGACATCTTTGCCTTCTTGCTTTTCTTTTTCATATTTTTGGTATACAAGTTTCAGTCCATCCACAAGTGATGCCATTGTACAGAGAAAAAGTTTTTCCAAACAACCACCCAAGTGCTTTTAATCAGAAATAATTCTCAGAAGTTCCAAAATCACCAAACAATCCAAACAAGCTGTTTCTTTTAAATACTTTCTCCTTCTTCACTTTTTCTTTCTAGGGTTAAAGTTTAGTCACAAAATTCCCTTTAAGATATATCTTTTAGAAGTCTTATTGATGTTTAGTAACCCTTTAGGGTTCTAGGCAATCTTTAGGGTTCTAGGCAATTGAGAAAATTTAAAAGAGAGGAGAAGTTATATAGAAAATTGAAAATGCTAACAAGATATGGAATGGTATATAAAATGAATATGAATTTGAATTTGTGTCTGTATCAAGAGTTTTAACCCGGGACTAAGCAACTTTCAGAAAAGAGATTTTTTATGCTTTTATGTTTTGTGTTTCTGTGTATTTATGTTTTGTATGTCTTTAAAAATTAATAAAATTAGTTCAAAAAAAAAAAAAAGAATAACAGATTTGGAAGGAACTCTGCTCAAGAAAGAGACCCTATACCCAGAGTCTCCAGCCATTAGCAATAATAAAATAAAACCCTTCATTTTACTCTAAAATGAAGGTAGTCATATTCAATAAGAGATGTACCAACTGCCATTGTAATTGGCGGAGAAATGTCCACACTAAACAGATTAAGGTTTTCAAATATTTAGCAATCCACTTTCAATTTCCTAGTACTTGGAAACAACAAAGTCTGAGAAATTATAATAAATATGCCTCAAAGGCTTAGAACATTATAATTATTATTTTTTCATTGCAAATGGCAATAACTTTGCCCTGCAGTAGTTAAATTATTTAGAGAAAAGGTGCTAAGCTTCCTACTCTACAGCATCCACTCTATGCTAATAAAGATAAAACGATCACAAAAGCAATTAAGACAACATTCATAAGAACAACACTCTGCAAATTTTCAATCTGTGTCAAATAATGTTTTTTTATTAGAACTAGGCTATTTTATGTGGAGATCTGCATGGCAATGCCTCACTTGAAATACAGATATGAAACAGATGTTCTGAGGCAAAATCCTGATCCACTTTATTCTCACAGGTAAGTCCAGTTTCCCTTGGAAAACATCTGTTTGGCCTATATATGGTGGCTTCCAAGCCTTGTTAAAGCTTGGTTTAAAGAAACTATTATTCTTTGTGGGATTCTAATGCAGGGTTTTCTGATATTTATTTGTAGGTGAAGAATTATGCTGAGTGCATTATTCTGGATACCTTTCCTGATTAAGATACTTCCCTCATACTTTTTGTAACATCAGGCCAGCTGGAGGCAAACTTTCAGCCTGGCAAATGTCTATGGAGATACTCAATCATCCAGGTCAGGGTTGCTGGTCCCAAAAGTGCTTTCAAAAGGCCTTCTTGGGTTTTTTCTTTGAACAAACCAAGCCTGGCAGGTTTCAGCCTTTCAGGTAACTCTTACATTTTGTTGGTACTTAGCTGTTCCATTGATGTCAATAAAAGTAAGCAAGCATCCAGTCTTATGCGAGCTCTGACAATCCCTTCCAAAACATCTATCTCAATAGGTTCTTAATTTTTCTTCAGTCAGATAAAGATACACTGCTCAAAAAAAAATAAAAGGAACCCTTAAACAACACAATGTAACTCCAAGTCAATCACACTTCTGTGAAATCAAACTGTCCACTTAGGTAGCAACACAGATTGACAATCAATTTCACATGCTGTTGTGCAAATGGAATAGACAACAGGTGGAAAGCATAGGCAGTTAGCAAGACATCCCCAATAAAGGAGTGGTTCTGCAGGTGGTGACCACAGACCACTTCTCAGTTCCTATGCTTTCTGGCTGATGGTTTGGTCACTTTTGAATGCTGGTGGTGCTTTCACTCTAGTGGTAGCATGAGACGGAGTCTACAACCCACACAAGTGGCTCAGGTAGTGCAGCTTATCCAGGATGGCACATCAATGCGAGCTGTGGCAAGAAGGTTTGCTGTGTCTGTCAGCGTAGTGTCCAGAGCATGGAGATGCTACCAGGAGACAGGCCAGTACATCAGGAGATGTGGAGGAGGCCCTAGGAGGGCAACAACCCAGCATCAGGACCGCTACCTCCACCTTTGTGCAAGGAGGGACAGGAGGAGCACTGCCAGAGCCCTGCAAAATGACCTCCAGCGGGCCACAAATGTGCATGTGGCTGCTCAAACGGTCAGAAACAGACTCCATGAGGGTGGTATGAGGGCCTGACGTCCACAGGTGGGGGTTGTGCTTACAGCCCAACACCATGCAGGACGTTTGGCATTTACAAGAGAACACCAAGATTGGCAAATTCGCCACTGGCACCCTGTGCTCTTCACAGATGAAAGCAGGTTCACACTGAGAACATGTGACAGACGTGACAGGGTCTGGAGATGCCATGGAGAACGTTCTGCTGCCTGCAAAATCCTCCAGCATGACCGGTTTGGCAGTGGGTCAGTAATGGTGTGGGGTGGCATTTGTTTAGGGGACTGCACAGCCCTCCCTGTGTTCAACAGAGGTAGCCTGCTTCCATTAGGTACCGAGATGAGATCCTCAGACCCCTTGTGAGACCATATGCTGGTGCGGTTGGCCCTGGGTTCCTCCTAATGCAAGACAATGCTAGACCTCATGTGGCTGGAGTGTGTCAGCAGTTCCTGCAAGACAAAGACGTTGATGCTATGGACTGGCCCGCCCCTTCCCCAGACCTGAATCCAACTGAGCACATCTGGGACATCATGTCTCACTCCATCCACCAACGCCACGTTGCACCACAGACTGTCCAGGAATTGGGGGATGCTTTAGTCCAGGTGTGGGAGGAGATCCCTCAGGAGACCATCCGCCACCTCATCAGAAGCATGCCCAGGTGTTGTAGGGAGGTCATACAGGCACGTGGAGGACACACACACTACTGAGCCTCATTTTGACATTACATCAAAGTTGGATCAGCCTGTAGTGTTTTTTTCCACTTTAATTTTGAGTGTAACTCCAAATCCAGACCTCTATGGGTTGCTAAATTTGATTTCCATTGATAATTTTTGTGTGATTTTGTTGTCAGCACATTCCACTATGTAATGAACAAAGTATTTAATAAGAATATTTCATTCATTCAGATCTAGGATGTCTTATTTTTGTGTTCCCTTTATTTTTTTGAACAGTGTATATTTCTTGACATGCTGGGAATGAAGATGTCTGTGCGCAAGGCTGATTAACATACTCAGCTCTTGTTTTGAGGGCAATACTGTGGTTGAGCTTAAAGAAACATTTTGCCTCAACGGATTTTTCAACTTGAACATAGCTGGTATAGCGTAAATGCTACAATTACAAAAGGTCAGAAGTATCAAAATTCTAGAGCTGCACTGCATGATGTAAGGGGCACATCATTGCTATGTCTGTTACCAAGGTCACAAGCTTAATAGAAGTCAATGGACCCCAGGCTTAGAAGCCAAAAAAAAAAAAAAAAGTATCAATATTTAGTTAGACTACCACTAATCAAATCACAGTGGTAGGTGAAGCAATATGTATATTTTTTAGAAACCATAATATATCTCTTGAATGACAGTAAAAGTAACAAGGTTTGAGTATCTTACAAAATATGCAGACTTTGTTTAAAAAAGTATCAGACAAGAAAAAGTATTTCACTTGATAAATCATTAATAGTACTGCTTTGGGGGCAGTGATGCACAAGGTTAGTAATCATTCATGATGGCGCTGTTCTTTACCAAGATATTTTGCCACCTAAGGAGCTCACTAAAATACATTTCTTATGAAGCTAGGTTGGATATTCCTGTCGTAAGCAGTTCTTCCTATGCTTTGAGCCAGACTGATTTTTATCCAGGTTGCTGATGTTGAACAAATGGAAACAAGGTCAGATTTTGACCTTGGTACCAAAAAGAATTTTATTTTAAAAGCAAGTTTTCTCCTTGCAAAAGGTTTTTGTTACTGATTTGGGAGTTTCAGATGCATTTACTTCTCTGAGCCTCAAGTTACAGCAATATCATTTTCTCTTCTGTTGAAACCATAGGAAAAAAACAAAAACAAATGAATCTCTGATTTCTTTGAGCAAAAAACTAGAGTGATCATACTCAGGTCCATTAAAACTATCTTCAAGCATTCACATAATGTGTTGGATTTCAATGAGAGTTTGTTTACACAACACCCTGACGTAAATCTTTGAGATTGTGGGTGGTTTGCTCATGCAAATCTGCACAAATATTGATAAGTGTAACTTGTACATTGCATAAGTTTTGATCAGTACCAATTCCCACTGATGATCCAGATCACATACAGTAGAGCTAGTCCTCAACTTGTGACCACAGCTGAGCCCAAATTTTCAACTGCTAAGCAACAGTTGTTAAGTGAGTTCTGTCCCATTTTACTATCACAGTTGTTAAATGAAACACTGCAGTTGTCAAATTAGCAATGCAGTTCTTAAGTGAATATAACTTCCCCATTGACTTTGCTTGTCAGAAGATTGCAAAAGGTGATCACATGTACTTAACATAATGTATGAACCCATAAGTATCTGACATGACTCTGTTCATTTTCACAACTTTCCTTTCTCCAAAGTTTTTAACATGGAGGAAGGAAGCGACTCGCCACATATCTGAACCAGGGAGCATGTAATTTATCGGAGGAGTCCTGGCCATTCTCAGGGTATGTCCTACTGTGGGATTCTCATAAAGCCACAAACAGAGGATTGGTGCAAAGTGCACTAAAGCCAGAGTTTACTTCCAAAGCTGCTTATGCACTAGGGGAGGAGGATGCAATGGCAAAACGCTTACAGGAATGTTTACCTATTTAGATAGACCCGTTTTTCTGTCAGCTGACCATTCCCATAGTTTGGATCTTCATAGGGCTCATTCTGTACCACTTCCACACCTTCTCCACGATCACTCTGCTCATGGCTATGTTTACTGATCATGTACAGCTGTCCAATTCTGTACTGCAATGCAAAAAGAAGGAAAAAGTATGTTTAGGTGGCGGGTTTATTTTCTTTTTACATAATCCTTAAAGAAAACATCTTCACAGTGAGTAGCACGTTTAAAAATAATTATGGAAACTACTAACAATGCTAAAAGCTGATTGTTTCAGGTGCAAAGAACCAGGAACACGCACTGAGTTCAAAGCACAGGATGTAGGAGATGATCCAGTTGAGCCCGAGGGAAGTGTCAAGCATATAATCAGTTTGGAGTCCCTTCGCACCCACAAGAAATCTAAATCCAGCCAACCTTGAATTTCCTTAACTTTAATTTACCAATTTGACTGTTAGTAGATCAGATTCTTGTAGAGAGCTAGCATGGAATAAACTTGTATTCATTTAAACAACCCTGTTTCTTGTGCCTGACACAGAAGAGTTATTATTGCTACCTATACACAAGAATCCTGATCAACTAATGGCCAAAGCTAAGTTCGCGCTAGATAAGTTTCAACAAAATTCATGGGGGGAGGAGTGGACTTGGTTTTTTTGTGGCTGTGCAATGATTCCAAACGAATGACGCATTTAACTCTGCCTTCCAGCTCAGCCTGATCATCTTCTACATTGTTATTATAATAATATGTTTGGTGAATCCTTTATTCGGAGCCCCCTTAGAAAGTTTTCATAACTATCTAGACAAAATTATAGTATGATGTATCTGTAAATTGTCTCACATGAAATAGTCTCAAGAATATAGGGGGGAGGGTGAGTAGCATTTCAACCTATTGCATATATAAACACAGGCTTTGAACACTTAAGTGCAGCCAGCGACTGCAAATGCTCCATGGATTGTATAAACAGCTTATTTGTCAGTTCAGTTCAGTTTATGAATGCACCAGATCTGATCTAGTTGGGACATACTACACAGGTAAAATATCCTGTAAGCTATCATTTTCTGGCAACATTATGGACATAGTTTACCATTGCCTTCTTCTACTTGCTGGCTCAGGAATTATGGGAGTTGAAGTCAACAAGTCGTAAAGGGCCATAGTTGCCCATTCCTGACATATAAACTGAAGCCTTGGGATTTCCTTATAGGCTCTACGTATTAACCTGAGCATTACAAGTGAAGAAAATAATAATAATGAAACACTGAAAATATCTTCAAAGGAGCTTGGAAATTCCTTGGAACCTATCTGCAAATAGAAGTCCAAGTTTCTCAATGTTTCATAACTGTTACAACAAAAGACATCATGTGAAACTAATTGAACCATCTGCAGTTATGTGAAACTCAGTACAATTCTGGGGAGGTTTTTAGTTAAAAACCATCCAGCTAAAATGTGTGTTACTTAACAATTTTCATAATAGAATGTGATTTCAATTTAGCTGAGTGAAAAACTTCTCTTAATACATTTGTTTAGTCCTTTAGCACTGGTTCTTTTTATTGGAATTAGACACAGCTGTAAATATTTGTGTGACCAAACTGGGTATTTTTCAAAGTTTGTTGTTTTCCATTTTGTTTAGCCTTGTTAGACAATGTTGAACAAAGAGCATTAAATTGTGATGTGATTTTCCATATGAAAAACTCTGTTGGGGTTGCTAGTAATGTAAAAGGGAAAGATCCTGCTATTTAAGGTAGAATGACTAGTCTAAGCTATATAATTAGGCATGTATCCTGGAACTAGGGAGATGCCCATTTCTCAAAGTACTACAACTGAGATTGTATCACTACCCACAACAAAGCTCCACAGCACAATATTTTGGCCTTCGAGCCTTTTATAAAAAACAAGTTCTTCAGCTGCGTGAACTAACATTTAAATTGTTATTTTTAAATTGTGTTTAACAAGAGCATAAAGGGTTTTGTTATAATTAAGGTATTCTTCCCCAGACGACCACTTTTATAGCATAATATTTAAAAGCTTGTGAGTCTTCTGACTTGCAGAGAAACTTTTCTTCTTTAAAACTGCATAAACACAGATTGCTCCCAAAGCCCAGCCTTTCCTCCGTTGAAGCCAAGAATAATTTTATGTCAAAAGATCTGGCTTGTATATGATAGAATATAACACTAATGTTTCCTCTCTCTCCCACCCTCCTTATCCCAAAAGTAACTGGAAAGAAAAGAAAGGGAAAAAGATTATGGGCTTGACTTTCTGACAAATAATATCTAGGAACAAGCTGCTTTAGTCACAACACTATAGGTGCCAAGCTCGGGAAATCATGAAATCCAGGCAGTTCAAGGCAGTTCACATGAATATAAAATTTATTGCAAGCTTAAGCTCTCTGCAAGAATCTGAACTACTAGCTGTCAAAGCAAATTGGTGTAGAGATCTAAGTGCAGTCCACCTTAAATTCTCCTCCTTGGAAACCATGGGCCACATTTCCACTCCTCCGATCTGGAGGCAGAGAGAAGGGACATCTAGGATGCCTCACTCACAGAACTTAGAGGCCGAAGGGTTGATGTTGAGGTTAATGCTGGCAGCAGCAGCATTGTGGGCTCAAAGGGAGTCAAGACTGATGATGCATTTGACCCCTCCTTCAGGCTCAGCCTGGTCATTTCCTACAATATGTTGAACAAAGGAAGGTCAAAGTAGAAATGGAGAAATATAACCATTTCCTGGAACACAAATAGTCCTTGACTTACAACAATTCATTTAGTAAGTTACAACAGCCCTGAAAAAAGTGACTTATGGCTATATTTCACATTTGTGGCTGTTGAAGCATCCCCGTTATCATGTGACCAAAATTCAGACCCTTGGCAATTGGCCTGTATTTATGACTGTCGCAGTGTCCTAGAGTCATGTGATCATCAATTGCAGGGGTGTCAAACCTGATCACATTGTGGGCCATATCGTTACGTATCGGGATTGTTTTTGCTCTTGTGGGGCTGGGGTGGGCATGGCTGCGCAGGCCGTATCCAGCCCGCAGGCCCTGTGTTTGACACCCCTGATCTATTGTGACCTTCCGTCAAGCAGTCAATGGAGAAGCCAGATTCATTAACAATTGTGCTACCAACTTAACAACTGCAGTGTTTCATTTCACAACTGTAGCAAGAAAGGGGCAACATTCATTTAACAACTGTCTTGCCTAGCACAGGAAATTTTGAGCTCTACTGTAGTCATAAGTTGAGGACTACCTGTATATTAGTTCCAAGGAGAGCAGCAATACCTAAAACAGTCCAAAACGGTTACAAACATCCAAGCGGAGGATAGATATTTAAATAATTCCACATCTCCAATTTACACCAGGCCTATATTTCAAATGTTTTCATGAGAAAGAGAAGGAGATAATAAATCAATCTGAGGTGCTTGGTGCTCTCGGTGTATTTGGCGGGTGTGTGCGTTACTGTACGCAGAATACTTCAAATGATGAACTTTGTCCACAATCCCATCTCTCTCCCTCATATACTGACCTTTTTACTAAGCATTTTCTAATTGTCAGCTGGAGTTGTGCGTCATCCAGAACTTAAGTGGGGTGGGGGGGAGAACCCTTACTGATACACATCCATTAACCACATAAATACCAAACGGAACTGAATGGAAGTCTGAGCTGATGGAATAGACTCTAGTCTTCAGAAATGCATGTCCAAAAAAACTCATTTGTTTCTTTGGCTTCAATAATCCTAAGCAGCTACCCTTCTGGGCTTTGCATTTAGGAACATCAGTGTGTTAATAAGGAAGATGAGACGATGAACAGTGCATTATTAGCAGGGTGGGGTTTATTTAAACCATTAATTAGAAGGATTGAATTATTTAAATCACAATTTAGTCATCCATTAGGAAGATGCCATTAATATCTTTTCTGTTGGATACAAGAAAATTCTACAAATCTTGGTGGGGAGCATCAGTGCAGCAACTTGAGAAAATATAGGCTATTTTTGCCACAGGAGTATCAACTGACCAAGAGACCGATATTGCTAGGCAACCAACCAACCAACCAATATTGACCCTGAGCTGTCAAAACAGATCTGCTAATATTGGAGCTCATTTTAGTGAAGGGGCTGGAATTGCCCGGAATCCCTCCAAAGGAATATACCAAAGATCTATAATGACTTGTGGTATATACAGTAAATTGGTTCCACTCTCTTTACTTACACTTCACAGGCTTGTGCAGTTCTTCTGCAAAACCTATTCAACCAAAAATGTATGATGTTTTCTGGAAATGAAAAGCTTTCAGTGTAATTCACCCATCCTGATTAGAGCGCAAAATGTCTGGTTTACAAGGAATGTGTAATGTACAATTATCGTAAACTCTGAAAGTTGTAGAGGGGTGAGGCTATGAATGGTCACAAGTTCCTAAATACTTAACAGGGTTATATTTTACAGGGCTATCTGGGCTAACCTGGAAAAGAGTTTGGAACTTGTTAGTAATATATATTGCAGAAGGTTGTCTACAATGAGGTGCTGAATACTCAGTAATATAATATAGGAGAAGAGTTGGCAGAGCCTAGGGGCGGAGTCAAGAGAAGACTCAGCCTAGAATCATTATGTGTATATAAACGCTGTAAGTTCAGCTCTTTTTTGATTTTCATTGTCTTATTTAGTGCTAATTGAGTGTTGACGGTGAGTTGACTAGAATCTTGTGTATAGTTTTGAGAAATAAATCTTCTGAACTGGAAATTATGAGAGATCCTGATTCTTTGTGCCTGACATATAATACTTCAACAGTTATGTTCATGCAAAATTGTTTCTAGGCCCACTTCAGGTAACTGGATATTAGTATAAATAAAATAATATGAATAATATAAAACCTGAATATTTTGGCACGATGTAGGCAGGGCGTTCTTATTTTGTGCCATCATACTAAGACACCATTGCAACCAGGTATGTACACCAGTATTTTGCTGAAAAAACAGATTTTGAGCAATGAACATAGGTACTTTTTTCTAAGCTGCTAGCTCAAAAGAACGTCTTATCTTTATTATCACTGCATTTAATTATTCTTCACTATCTGCTTTTCTTCAATTCCATGACTTTCTGATGTGAGAAAAAGTTAGATATAATATTTGTATTCCCTCTCTCCTTTTTTCA